CGTATGCGCACACGCACACACACACACACACACAGACACACACACAGACAGACAGACACACACACACACACACACACACACACACACACACATCTGCTCCAACAACAATGCTTCTCTCAGACAAGCGAAATGCTTTGCTGTCTTTACATTTCACGTGTTTCTCCAATACCCAAGGCAACAAGTCCATAATCATTCAAGTCATTCAACGAGTTACGACCCACTTTCATCACCCGGATACCCAGGCTAATCTGCGAGAGGTTTGACCTTAGACTCTCAGCTATTCGATGAGAAGACCTACACCACAGACTGCATTGTCAGCTTCTTAGACTTTACCTATCGCAGCCTAGAGAAGTGTAACGACTGTGTGGCTCTCACTCTAGTAGATTTTATCAACACAAAATAGTTACCAACAAGACTATCGACTTTGGGATTCGAATATGTCGCATTTCCTGACTTTTAGACTTTCTTATTGACCGCCGCCTTACTTGTACGCTTCCAAGGGGCCAACCCTCAAGTGCACTAGTATGGGAAGTCTCTATTTCCTCGTCCTCATTAACGATGCCTTGCACGATACTCCCGCTCATTGGCATCAGTGTTAACAACGCGGCTCCTGATTACAGCGTCATCTAGAACAGCTTGAACAGTCTCTGGAATTAGACTGCCGCCATGTCACAGTCAACCATATATCAAAGTCATGGTTATGCACATTAACCTTTTCTCCAACCATGTACTACCTCTGTTTATCTCACTGGGCACCAACACTACAGGCTGTGAATTACACCAAACTGCTCGCCGTCAGTATTCTCCTAGATGACAAATTGAGTTGGAAAATACACTTCCGTACTACAGTATTGTCACACCTCCCACCTATCGTCTGTAAGCCCTTTTTCGTCTCATGACCTTTGGACCCCCTATATTTGAACTCAAGAATATATACGCAATGTTCATGCATCCTAAACTCACCTAGACTTCCTCTACCTGGCCTTCTTTAACTGTTAAAGAATCCTAGTACACCATCTATCAAAATGTACTTATTTCAGTTCTCTCTGATTGTTATCGTGATCTCATCAGTCACATTGAAACAAAGTTGTTACACCAACCCTGCCACCACCAGCCACCAGAGCTTCACCGTCTACTATTTGCTGCTTGACTCTACAACCGCATCAAACACACGCGATAACTTGTATGTTTACTCCACTTCGGTCCCAGGTGCAGCGTTTGTTTGTTTATTCATCGGGCAATATAATGATTTATTTGCATATACATATATATATATATATATATATATATATATATATATATATATATATATATATATATATATATATATATATATATATATATATATATATACTGTATATGTAAGTTTATGTCTAGCTTAATAGAGATATTCGCCAATTAAGCTTTAAAAGTGGCGCTTTTCTCAATGTTAATGTTAATTAATAAAACGCGCATTAGCACACGCACACTCAGACACTCACATGTAAAGTGTATACACACACACACAAACGCAAGCTGCCCTGACTGCCTGTCTTCCCGTCACTATGACAACGGACTTAACAGATACAATCACTATAGTACAGATATTTTTGAACGGCGAATAAAAAATTTCTGGAATTTAATTTTATGTTGCTAGTTAAACGAAACTACAATTAAATACGTTTTCAAATCGACATTTGATTAATTTATGTATTTTTTGCAGGAACTTATTCAAAATCGTGTTCGTTCCGTTAATTTTTTCATATGTTTTTAAAAGCTCTGAAAAGGAATTTTACTTCACAACAATAATAATAATAATAATAATAATAATAATAATAATAATAATAATAATAATAATAATAATAATAATAATAAAAAAAGTTTGCAGCAGTTATATCTGAAATTGCCCAACTTCGTGGATTGTCCGAAATATAAAAATTAAAACATAGCAATTTTTTTTACCAATACACAAACAAATTTACAATTCTCTTGTACCCTTTCTGTATGTCTGTATATCCCCATTGTCCTCTGCTCAAAATATTAATGTTTTTTGCTCTCTTTATTTCTAATAACCGGTTGCATGGAAGTTTTTTCCATATTCTCTCTCTCTCTCTCTCTCTCTCTCTCTCTCTCTCTCGTCTAACTGTGTTACTGTTCTTCCTTCCTCTCTTCTTCGTTTTATCCTCCTCTCCCATTCTTCCTTTAATCACCTCTCGCCTACCAATAGCGAATGGTGTCTACTCCGTCCCTCATTAGCCTCACCATCACCTGAGGACGTGAGTCATCTATTACTGTCACGCCTCTCGGGCCTCCTCATATTTCTCGCGGATTGGTGGAAATGCGTATGAAGAAGAAAAAGTGCAACGCCTCTGCCGAAATGGATTGCATCACTCACTTTCTTTACTATGACTCCCCGTTGTTATTGCTGGTGAGAACAGATTTGGTCGTTAGAAAGAAAGAGATAGACAGATAAAGACAATATTAAATATACACGCTAACTGAATTAAGCAAATATTTATGACAGCATATTTGTGTAAATTTCTTGCGCCAGAACTTACAATTGTAATGTGTTGTAAATTTAGTCCAACGGTCGTTTAAATTAATATTATCAGTAACGACCAACTATCATCAGCTTACGATTTTGCAAAATCATTTGTGTTGATTATTTTTTTACATCTGATAAGTCGAGACGATAAAATCACGTTTTAAGTGTTCATATGAGAACAGGATGTAATAGCCAATCAGAAATTTGTGGGGCGATTTCAAATGTGCTGCAGAAGAGTTCGAACATTTACACGATTTGTAATTTTTTTTTCAAACATTGCAATCCTGTTATAAATGCACTAATAAAAAAAGAAATGTATCAACATTCATAAGATTCAGTGATGAGTGTGGAGCTGGAAAACACTCATTACCCGTAAACAACACACACACACACACACACACACACTATTATTATTATTACTACATCCTTGACCACCGGAGGGTCAAGACCTATCAGGCTCTGCCCCCCTTGGCCAATGTTCGGTCCATTCCCCAAGTCCCTCTCCCCGACCCATCCTCACCACTGGGATATCAACATAATCAAAAGTGACAATTTCGTTCCGGAAAGAAGTGGGATCAGTGTTGAACAGTGATGAACAGTGTTTCAGCCAGTGAATTCAGTACTAGACAGTACCAGTGAGAGCAGTGACCCACCACTGAGATAAGCACCCCTGGGAACTGTCCACCATATACTGACCAGGCAATGTTAATTAGTCCACCCTGGGAACAACAATGGATCGGCTTTAGGGCCGTATTGATAGTCATTACGACGATAATGACGATCACGATCATCATCTCGATGATCGTGTGTCGGGATGCAACCACCCAACGCTGAGTGCCATATTCCTAGGCCCTTACATGAGCGTGTCAACACGGCAGCTCGTGTCGGATGGCAAAATTTTTTTTGGCCATGCGCGTTTGCCAAATGTATTATTTCACATAATTAGAAAGACGATTTAGAGAGACATTTAGTTGTTATTTTAAACCGGCACAATAATATATTGTATAATTTATTTTTTTTTAATAAAATTGATCTTTATTATTTGTTCGAAACAAAAAAGATAATTTTTTCATCTGAGTACTTGGCACAATGTTTGCGCGCGTGTTATCAAACATGGAGGTAGTAAGAGAACGTTCTGCAGCTCTGTCTGAAACCCAACACATGGCACTTTTGCGCCATATTGAACAAAGGCCAATCATTGAGGACAGGTCTACAGGCAACACCATAAATTATAGGAAAAGAAAGGCCTGGGATGAAATTACTGCTTCATTCAACGCCAGCTACCCAGACCAAATCCCTCGCTCAGTCAAGCAGCTCAAGAGAAGTTACGAGCACATACAACGGAAGTAAGTATATGTTTATTTCTAAGTTTAGTATTTAAAAAATATGTTTTTTTGCCAGTAGGTTACTAAATTGATTAGGATTACAGTATTTAAGTGACGTGTCTTGTGAGGAGTCCCACCTCCTACCGAAGTAGACAGAAGGAAAGCTCCCATCTCGCCTCCCCATTTTCCCTTCCTTCATATAATTTTATGATCACGTTCAGTTATATATCAAAATAAGTGTTTTTATGTCTACTTTTATAAGTTATGTATGCCTATATGCTATTCCATGCGGTGTCTGAGTAGTATTGACCATATATTTTATATGTGCAAGTGTTAGCCATTGATTTATTTTTCCTCCTAAGAGTGCTAGGTTAAAATTGTGTATGATATCTGAAACACAAATTAAATTCATAATGAAGGAACTGGTATGGAGGATACACCAGTAACAAGGTGCTTCAGCCATACTGTGTTAGGTTCTCTTGTTTGTCATCTTTAATTGCCAGTGAATAAATTGAAGACAACATGGGACACTAAGAATTAATACTTTATTGACATGTTTTCTTTTTAGTAATAATTTTATACAAAAGATGACAACTACAGCATTTTTGTTAACACTACAAATCAGTAAATGCAAAACATTGATAAAAAGTTATGGATAAGTGAAGAAAAATAGTGGAACAGTCATATTTAATATTTGGTTAGGTAGGTTAAATTAACGTTAGGTTATGTTAAATTAAAGTTAGGTTAGATGAGGTTAAGTTAGATTACGTTACAATTAGGGTAAATTAGCTTAAGTTTAGTTAAAGTTAGGCTAGGTTAAAATAAAGTTAGGTTAAGTAAAAAATAAGTTAGGTTAGGTTACAGTTAAGCTAGGTAAGGTTATTTTAAATTAATGTTAGGTTATTTCCATGTTTTGTGCCATTTATTCACTGACAATGGATGGCCATTGTCATAGAACGAAGCTATACAGCATATAACTCTATATGAAACAGGTATTATTCTGCAGATTTGGTGTGCTTTACATTAGGTACCTGGAAAGCATGATAAAAGCCTATGCTGTTGCTATAATTATTTATTTTTGTACTGTATACAGTATTTATTTTGTTATATTTCTTTCAGAACTAAAAGCCGAGATATACAGCAAAAAAAATTCTAGCAAAGACAGGTGGTGGTCCACCACTCAAAATATCGGAAGCTTCAGAAGAAATGGTCTTGGCATCATCACTGATGGGGGCAGAATTGTCAATGGCTGATAACATTTACGAGGCCTTCAGTAAACCAGTACATGAAGCAAATAATACCTTAGAAAATGTGCAGCTAGGTGAGAATATTACAGAAAAGTGATCGATTTATACAGTTGTGTGCATTCATAACTCCCATTGCTCAATCTCCTTTTGCTATCGAAAAATCAAACGGGAACAGTGGCTGACAGCTAAATATTTTATCTGTTACTTTTCTTATGTCACTTTTACCTTTACCTTATACACGTGTACTGACACAGTTTACTGTTTCAGTATTTGCCGAGGTGCTCGAGCAACCCAGTGCTCGTGGCATGCGGAAGACTTCTGCAAGTGTACCTTCTGCTTCACTTACTCAGTCCTATGATCCACTTGTTTTACCTGGTCCAATCCCAGGGCCATCATCTGTGTCTTCTGCACAATTTACTGAAGTTTCATCTACTGTTTATCGACCTCTATTTTCACCCTCTGTTCCTGTCTCACAAGTCAATGTTCCTGCCTCACCAGTCATTGCTCCTGCCTCACCAAACATTGCTCCTGCCTCGGCAGTCAATGCCCCTGACTCACTATCGAGTGATATTGCCTCACCCCCTCCTGCTCATGCTTCCAACCAACACCTTTATTCAGTGTCCAGGGCATCTGGTTCTCGGCCAAGGAGCAAACCAAGGCGAACTCGGAGGGTGACAAGTATCTATGAAATGTGTAATAAAAGACAAGAAGAGTTACATAAATCTAAGTTGTACAGATTGAATAGGGAGCATGAGGAGGAAATGAAACTGAAAAAAAAAATGATGTTAACACAAAAACTACAACAAACTGCAATTGCATGGATTGAAAAGACACATGAAAAATTGAATAATTCTTTGGATTTGTTAGATAGTGTTTTAAGGAAAGCAGGAGCTGCATATGATGCCATGGCTAAAACATATGAATGATGTTGTAATATTTCAGAAATTGGCATCTAAAGTAAAAGTTATTCGTTCTATTTCTTACATATTCAACTAATTTTATTTGAAGGAAATAAACATACATGTGTTTATTTTGACAAAGGTTTTTTTGTTTACAAAAGCTGTCATAAGTATGGCAGGTAATTATTTGTGGGGGTGAATATTTATAATATACATAAAGGCTGTGATTTTCAAAAATTGAATTTATTTCCTGTGATAAAGAATAAAGTTTTGTTTGGTGTATACAGGTATTTATAAGATATGTTATACTGTGCAAAGTACTGTATAGAGGATATGTTTCTTTTATTAAATTTTATGCATTGATATAAATAGCTGTAGAGAAGGAGTGAACCATTTCTTTTTGTGCCCAAGATAGAAATATTTTCATGTCAGTTACAAATATTGTCCAAAGTATGGCAGTTAAGATTTATTTTTATATATCTATAATATAAGCTGTGAATTTCAGGAAATGCAGAACTATGTATAGAAAAATTATAGTTTATTTTCTTAATTTTTACACATTTATAAAAAAATAAATGTATATTTCTTTCCTTTTGTTGTCTTCATAAAACCTCACAGGTGAATTACCTTACATATTGAGTTATGCTCCATTACTAAAGACCACAGTGAAGTAAAAAAAACTATATTACTGGGCCAAAAACTGTGATATTTTCCTTGCTAACTCAAGATAGAGTGAGCTCACTTGGCTTGCCTCATTCCGGAAAACATAAGTGAATTTCCCGGTTCAGATGGTTGAAATTTTATTACTACTACGACAAAAATATTGTATGAATGAATAAAGATAAGAAACATAACTTAAATGATAACAGAAGTAATTGTTAATTGAAGATGAGGCTCACAGCACAGACAGCAGTCGTCATCGAAGTCGGAGCTGTGATGTCAACATTCCAATAATGTTTCAAGTTCATAACAGTGTTGTGAAAGTTCATTTATCCGTATTAACACTTCTTTTAATTGTTCTTATCAAAAAAAAATAAAATAATTCGACGTAGACATCTGTAATATAAAGTACTGGAAGAACTTTCATAAAATATAATGATGATTATTATTTGTCGTAAGGCAGCTATCGGGTGGGGGTAGCCACCCGATGTTGTTTCCAACATTTCAGGGATATGCGTACGGTTCCCTTCCGATACCTCGTTTATCGGGATGACTATTAATAGACCAGCACGAACACTATCAATTGGCATTGTGCTTCGTAATGACTATCAATCCGGCCCTTACACCTAACTTCAAGATAGCACAACACCACCTAGCAGAGAATGAGGTACTGTGACGCCACCCACACCACTCGGTGTCCCCATGACCACGTGGGGTCCTTCATATCAACATCCGAGGACGAGTCACTATACCACGTGAACACCACACCACCCGATGTCTCCATGACTACGTCCTTCATGTCAAAACCCGAGGACGAGTTACTGCACCGCGTGAACACCGCACCAACCGATGTCTCCACGACCACGTGAGGTCCTTCATGTCAATACACTAGGACGAGTTACTGCACCACGTGACCACACCACCCGATTTCTCCATGACCACGTGAGGTCCTTCATATCAACACCTGAGGACGAATTACTACACCACGTGAACACCACACCACCCGATGTCTCCATGACCACGTGAAGTCCTTCATGTCAACATCTACGGACGAGTTACTGCATCACGTGGTCTACGTGACCTCACACAGTATGGCAAGAAATCAGCCCAAGCCATCAACTGCATACTACAATAATTTTTATGTACAGTTCATGTTCCTTCTCTTTTCAGTAATGTAAGCTTTTGTTAAACGACCCACCTACCCCATGTCTTTGTATGTAATAAGTCCTTTTTGTCTAATGTGTATTTTCAGCCTTCTGGCTGCAGGAATTTTTCAATAAACCGTTAATTATTATTATTCTCATTATTATTATTATTATTATTATTATTATTGCACACACACACACACACACACACACACACACACACATATATATATATATATATATATATATATATATATATATATATATATATATATATATATATATATATATATATATATATATATATATATATATATATATATATATATATATATATATATATATATATATATATATATATATATTTCATGTAAATCCACAATGAAAACGTGGATAAGATAAATCTTGATAAAATCACACGGGAAAATGGAAACAACGGAGTACCTTAGCTTTCGTCTTTATTCAGTTGCCTCTGAAGATGTCTTGAATAAAGACGAAAGCCTAGGTACTCCGTTGTTTCCATTTTCCCGTGTGATTTTATCAAGATATATATATATATATATATATATATATTACACGTCAAAAATATAAGTTCCATGCTCCCGTCAACTGTAAAAACCCACTGATAAATCCTCTTTGCTACGTACTGTGTAAAGCAATCAATATAATGAGAGCTACAGGTTTTAGTGGAGCGGATAAGCACATAAAATAGGCATGATTGTTCACTTTTGTACAAAATTATGAGACTTTGGCCACATATTCTACTTGAGTTCGTAAAGATTTTTTGATACAGTGCCAACTGAACAGCTTCCCCTGGTTACCCACAGCGCCCCTAGGGGCTGACCGCAACAGATCCCTTATTTTTGGTTCAAACATACTAAAATTTGGTTATGTTATGTAACGTTACCATAAAAAACATCTTATTCAATATAATTTTTTGTTAGACCAAAGTGTGTGTGTTTGTTTGTTTGTTTGTTTGTTTGTTTGTTTGTGTTAATATTTTTTTTTTAGAAATAATTAAATAATCAACACTCAAATGTTCTCAAGCTTCAGAATTCTGAAGTGCCCTTTACGAATGTTTAAAGCTGTACACATTATATCATAGACATATATTATTAACTGCACTGTCCATCACATGCACAGAGAACAGTACACTGAGGCGCTACTTTTGCACATTTGCATCGTCCTGAACATGTCCTTTTACACCACAGTCTACCAGCTCTAGGCAAATCTTTACAGCTTCAGGTAAATTTGTCCAAACAGGGTGAGAGGCTCCCCCTTCAAATGTCCAACCCCAATAGATGGGGTCAGGAAGAATGGGCATAGGATTTGAACATTGTCCCCAGACATGGCCACCTTGGTATACAGCTCGCTTAATATGTTGTGTTAGCGCTGCTTGGGTCGGTGGAATCCCTTCATTGCCTCGGCCTTTCTTTGTGAAGAGATATTTCCGGGGATCGTTCACCTGTAATCTAGTAACAAGGGCATAAATATCGCAGTTTCAACAGAGAATGAGTTGTGTATCAATGTTTCTGTGCAGACATTTACTTTTATAGAGTGCTATATGAATATACATTTAAGTTTAGCTGTGTTCCAAACAAAGATATGTATTACTAAGTTAGTAGCTAAGACAATAAGTAGTCAAGAGTACGATGGTATGCAACTAAGACATTCATGGTTACCTTTTCGATTTGACTGCTGCGGTCGTACAGTAGAACAATAAATTTATCCAGTACAACAGTTGTTCATCAATAATATTGATATTGATATTGAAACAGTTTATTTAGCAGGAAGAACACAGATACAAAGTCGATAAAAATCATAAAATTAACATGGTAGAGCCAGTTGAGAGCCGGAGCTCTCTTGAAGGCACCTGATATATACTGTACATTTATCTCAAGGAAGTATTATGTAACATTTAGTATCATCTGGAATAGTACACATAGCATGGTGGTAATAAAAACATATCAGAATGCTACCACGGTTATCTGTTCGATATTTAATTTATTTATTTTATTACTTTTTTTTATTTTTATTTTTTTGTATATACATAAGTATTTACATAAGGGAGGGAAACAGTACAACATGGGTTGTACAAAGGTGGAACAAGAGGAGAGAGCTGCTAGTATCATGTCTAGTTGACAAATATATTTATTGCAATTGTAATTTCTATCTATCTGCATGATAATTTCTGATAAAGCGGTTTTGGTGGTACAATAAAAGCAGGGATATAAAGTAGGCATTAAAACAAATATTAATACTTAGACGAGAGATATTTTTTAAGAGATGATTTAAAGGAAGGGAGCGTAGTCTTTGCTCGGATGGGTGGTGGTAAGTTGTTCCACACCTTCGCACCATGATATTTTATGGAAGTCTGGGACCGAGAGGAGCGCATGGAGGGTGGTCTTAGTAGGTCTGAGTGTCTTAAGTTGTATCTCTGATTATTCCGGAACTGGAAATAATTATTGTCAACCAAGTAATTGACAGATTTGTAAACAAATAGGGCACAGCAATAGGTGTTAATATCCTCGAATTTTAACATTTTCAATTTAGCAAATTGTTCATTAGTGTGATCAGTTTTTTCAAGAAGGTCATTGTCCGTAAAACTGCCCTTTGTACAGTAATCAGGAGTTGCGTTCTTGAAGAACCAGAGGCCCCCCATAGTGTGTGACAGTGTATCAGGTGTTAGTAAACAAGATCATAATAGATTTCTTTCATTGCTGTAAGAGTGAGTGACTGTCGAGTGTGATACATGATACCGCACTGTTTATTGGGTTTACTGTGAATGACTTGTATGTGGTTTCTCCAGCTAAGTTTCTCATCAACACTAACCCCAAGGAATTTAGTTGTTTTGTTCGTGTTTGAGGACTGTATTGCCAAGGTACAGGAAGTACAAATCTGGAGGTAAGTTTTTCCTTCTGTGAAAGCTTGTGTAGTGGTTTATTTCGAGGTTTAGGGTCAGTTTATTACGTATTACCCAGGTCTTGACTTTAGTCAATTCACTGTTAATAGTTTTCATCAAGGAATGGAGGTCTGAGTTACTGGCATAGAGATTACTATCGTCTACAAATAAGTTGTATCTTTTTAGTGTGCTGGAGTGGACTATATCGTTTATGTATAACAAAAACAATACAGGACCGAGAATGGAGCCTTGAGGGACGCCATACAAAATTGGTGAGGAGTCAGATTGATGATTATTATAGAAGACATACTGCTTCCCATTAGTCAGATATGAGGGAAACCAAGTGTGGAAAAAGCCCCTAACGCCGTAATGTTCATGCTTTGAAAGGAGGATGGTATGGTAGACAGTATC